ACAGTATGTGGCCCATTTATCGTTGCAAAAAAGGCCACATCAAATAATTATAAAGTACATCAAAAAAACTTCTGAAAACATTCAAAAACTTTCTGATTCAGTTCTAGTTTTGGTATTTGTGACTAGGTCTCTGCTTCATCAGAATCAGTATCAGTTTCGTGTCGCTAGGCAAACATGCCCAAACCCTGCATTCTACTTTCATTACAGGAGAAACTGCTCATTTGCAGTTAAAGCCAAAGACACCAAACAGCTCTGACCCAAAAACTGACATTTTCAAATGGTCTGACAGGTATTTTAAGCTGAAACTTCACAGACACATTTTAGGAACACCAAAAATTGTAAAAAGAGGCATAATATAAGAGGCCTAAAAAGACTTTTAAATAGATGTTAAAGTGACCTATATTTGAGACTATTTACAATTTATAATTTATTCAATAATTAATTCAAAATTAAAGTTTGAAGAAATATCTTTTTTTGCATGACACAGTGACATTTAAGTACAAATAATAGCTCTGACGGAATTCTCTTGAACAAATAAGCATTCGTTTAATGTGTCAGAATGGAAAAGAGTGAGCGTGTGTAAATGTCACGTCCTTTTGGTTTTCTTGGCAACATCCTGAATCATTCACATAAAAATCAGAATGTGCTTTCTTTGACAATCTAGAAAATCAGGGAAAGTTTGTTTTTTCTTTTGTTACACTTTGTTGACACATGGCAAAAAAACGGTCATTAGTACATACCTTAAAAGTGACAACTGTTGTTGAGTTTTAAAAATTGCATTTGTTACACATTTAAATGAATTAATCCTTTACTGCACAACATTTCACTTGGCAACAGAAATGTCAATTTTCAGTGCATGTTTTCATAAATCATTGCAACCAATTGGAATGGTTAATAGCAATAAAGAAAAAGTCAAATAGGATTTGAGGGTCACTATCATGCACCATTTGAAGGTGGAATATTCTTTGCACCCGTGGCCCAAGGAGTGCTTGATGTGATTAAAAGGCAAGATATCTGCTGTAGTAATCCTGTTTAAAAAGACATGGTCAATGCATAAATATATGCATGCCGGTGTAAAAATACATTTTATTAGGTTTTATTCTGATTTTATTTTATTTTGAATGTTTAGAAATTCTAATTTTCTTATAATTTTCATCAACTTAAGTTTTATTTTTACAAGTTTTTTTTATTCTAACGATATTTTTGCTAATATTGTGCTTAGAGATTATCACATATTGTTATACATGTTAGTGCACAATTTATGTTCAAAGCAGAAGAGGTGGCAAACTAGTGGTGGGATTTCCAATTTCCCATGAAATGAAAACTCATTGCGTGATTACATGAAGTAGAGCAAATGAGATGAGACACTATATAATGCAAGTCCTGTACCAGATTCAATACATCAATGAGTTTCAAGTGCTTTCCATTTTTGATCAATAAGATTCGCTCTTAGCTTTGTTTTATGGGTGTGTATTAATAATTGCAGCAATAATCTTCTCCATGATTCAGTACCAAAATATTTTGGGCTAAGGGTTGCGCTAAAAAATAATGAAATTAACCAAAAATTGTGTAGAATTATTTAATCATACAGTGTCTATAGAAAATCATCACACCCTGTGAAAATCTAAATCCTTACTCACTAGGGATGCTCTGATCGCCGGGGAACGGTATCGGCCGATAATCACATTTTTAAACAGGTTAAGAGTCTGGGTGTCATTCTTGATAGCACCCCATCTTTTGATTCTCACATCAATAACATCACCCAGTCTGCTTACTTCCACCTACTCAACATTAACCGACTCCGCCCTTATCTTATCCCCCCATGCCACTGCTTTTCTCGTCCATAGCCTTAACACATCTCATTTAGATAACTGCAACTCCCTTCTCTTTGGTGTCACTCACAATTCCCTCTATAAGCTTCAGTTGGTCCAGAACTCAGCTGCCCGTATCATCACCATAACCCCTTCTTCTCATCCAACACCCCTGTCCTGCAGCAGCTTCACTGGTTACCAGTTCATTTTCAAATTGTTTTTTTTTTTTTTTTTTTTTTGAATTTTTAAAATTTTGCTGTTAACATTCAAAGCCATCCATAATCTCGCCCCTCCATATTTGTCTGCCCACATTTCTGTTCCTTCTTGCACCCTGCAATCTTCTTCCTCCCTCCATTTGTCTGTTCCCTCTGTTCGTTTATCGTCCATGGGCAATAGAGCAATCAGCCGCTCTACTCCCCTGCTTTGGAACTCACTACCACCTGCCATCAGAAGTATTGACTGCCTCACACTATTCAAATCAAGACTCAAACCCACTTAGTTAAGATGGCTTTTAATACTTAATTGTATCTGCACTATTGCTGTGTATGTTTTTTATATTATTTCTCTTGTTCTATTTCTCTTGTTTTATTGTACAGTGTCCTTGAGTTGCCAGAAAGGCACCTTTAAATAAAACGTATTATTACTATTTAATGACCCGATCTGTACTTACTGATTTCATGAACCGATCTCAAGTGTTTGTGTTAGCTGGAGAAAAGCACATTTTAACATGAATATTTAATAATATAACTTCTTGTAATTTACTTTTTGCAATAAACAGTAGTTTATAGACCTATTTACTTTTAGTTAAGAAGTATTAGATTTATAGGTGTGCTTTTTAACTTCTTGTTCATCAAATATGCGCTCCAAACCTTTTGATTGAGATGCCTGGATGGGAGACCACATGGGAAAGCTAGATTAATGCCTGAAATGGTGTTGGTAAGGCCAGCAGGGGGCGCCCAACCTGTGCTTTGTGTGGGTCCTAATGCCACAGTATAGTGATGGTGGCTCTATACTGCTCAGTAAACGCTGTCTTTCGTATGAGATGTTAAACTGAGATCCTGACTCTCTGTGATCGTTGAAAATCCCAGAATGTCCTTCAAAAAAAAAAAAAAAAGAGTAGGGGTTTAACCCCGGCAACCTGTCCAAATTTGGCCAACAGGCCTCTGTCCATCATGGCCTTATAACCATCCCCATATCATAATTGGCCTCATCACTGTGGTGTGCGGGGTTCCGTTGTGTCATCCAGGTGGATGCTGCACACTGGTGGTGGATGAGGATTTTCCCTCCAATGTGTAAAACACTTTGAGGGCCCTATCATACACCCGGCGCAGTGTGGCGCAAGAAGTGGCGCAATAGTCTTTTGGTAGTTTCAGCTTGGCGCAAGAGTCATTTTGAGGCGTTGCGCTACGCTGTTTAAATAGCAAATGCATTAGCGCTCATTTGTGTGCCCATAGGTGTTCTGGTCTAAAAAGGAAGGCGTTTTGAGGCGGACTGCTGGAGCGTTGCTATTTTGAGAAACTATAATAGAATTTTCATTAGACCAAAACAAACCCGGTCTAAACTCCGGTGCAGAGTTGCGCTTCGCTTACGCACTGCTTAATAGGCACAAGAGAGCAATAGGCAATTATCTTTACATATGAAAAAATTCAATATTAAGGATATATATAGGATATAATAAGAATAGATATAGAATATAAATATAAAGGATTAAAATATTACAAAACATTATTTTCTAGCCTACATAAATATGAAAAAACACTGCTTTTATGTCTTCTTCATCTCAGGAGGCTTTTTCAGTTCATTCATAACAATTTGCTTTTGTATAATGTTATTATTATTAGCAGTATTATTTATTATATCCATATTTATATTTGTTTTATTAAAAACAAGCTTAGATTTGCCCACCTGTCAGGTTTTAGACCATATGGGGGACAGCATGTGTTTTAGGATATAACTCAGGTTTTTGAGCACATTTTGTTATTATTATTCATTTATTCGTTTGCTGGAAATTAGAACTGAATTTAGAAATAGTTTTGAAACAAATATTTGCGCTTAACAAACAAAATTATTTATTTATAGACTAATTGATGTCTGTGCGTAAAGGTTTCCCTATCCAAGAGCGAATGTGAAAGTAGTTCCATTATCTCTCATTCTCACGCAGTAGATGCTCTGTTTAACAGTTTTCTGTTAAAAAAATGTTAACTATTAACTGTTTGCTTGTGAAATGCTAATTTTTTCTACTTAGACTTACTTTGCGTCCTGTAAATAGCGAATGCGCTCTTGGCACGACGCAGCTGACTCTTAAAGGGAATGGGAGATGAGACTCTAATTGGTTTATTCTCAGAACACACCTATAACTCATTAAGAAAATAAACTCAACCCTTTTAGACCATGCGCCGTGGCGCAAGGCAGATTTTCCATCCTTAAATTAGCAAAAACGCGTCCTGACACGCCCTGAAAGCGTTTGCGCCCTGCGTTTTGCGCTCTGTGCATGGACCGTCAAAATAGAGCCCTGAGTGTCTTGAAAAGCACTATATAAATGTAAGGAATTATCATTATTATTAATTCTTCTTCCTTCCTTTGCAGTGTTTCCAAAACGTATTGTTAATCATTTTTCTTACCATGTTTTTTTTTCTTTATCTGTGCTGTCTATTATTTTCTTTAATGCTGCTTTTAACTATGACATGTTCACACCTAAAAGAGACGTGTTTAAGGATTATATGCAGCATCCTTAATTTATGCTCTTAGGTAAAGAGAAAACTCCACTTAATTATCTTACTTAGAAGGAAAATGTGCTTAATGCATTTTAAAGCTTGAAGCATCAGAATCTGTACTCAGTAACGGCCGATCTCAACTACTCAACTACTCGATAATGGCTGCAAAAATCCTGATCAGTGCATCCCTATTACTCACATTTCACCCTGTTTTCAAAAGATCTTTGGGATAAAGTTGTAAAAAAAAAAAAGCACAGGTTAGGAGAAGGCTACACAAACACTTCAAAAGGCTGGAAAAGTTATTTAGAATGTGATTTGATTTCAGAGTGTATGACAAAGTCATTATTTCAGAGGGGTATGATGATTTTCTATAGGCACTGTGCAATACACAATTGCTGCAGTAGAGGGTTGAATTTACTTAATCTGAAAGGATGCAACATTTTGATATCTTTACCCTTTTTTTCATTTTCTGTAGGGTGTGATTGACTACATCTTCTTCTCAAAGACACACATGAGCGTTCTGGGTGTTCTGGGTCCATTGGAGACACAATGGCTGAAGGACAACAACATAACCGGCTGCCCTCACCCTCACATCCCCTCCGACCACTTCTCCCTCCTGGCTCAGCTGGAGTACCATCACCCTTTACCCCCCCTCAACGGGCTGCATCTGCCTGTCCACAGGTAGTGCAGACCCCTTCCTTCCTCTCCCAAAACCCCACACCATGGACAGACCCCCATCATAAGCCCCAAAAAGTATAGGCGCACACATTAAGGAGTGAAGTGCTCACCTACTTTCTTGCTTTTTTTAAGCCTTTGCACATGATTGTATCATTATTATTATTATTATTATTATGTTTTCCAATTTGAAAACAAAAGCTTAATACCAAATTAGGGTTGGGATTCTCTGTTTGGTACCAAACGAACGCTGCTTTCAGGGAAATCGATCTGTTTGTCTAAATCTGAATGTGAGATTGTACTAACCGTGTGTATTGATGGTAGAAATGTGTATCTTATGAGAAGACAGATCATTTAGCATAACAATGTGAGCACTAGTATTATGACGTTTCGATCAGCATCCGCTTTTAAATTCCCTTTTGACATATCAAACATTTTAAAATTAAAGCAATTACAGTAAAACCCCATATGCAACTTCAAATATTACAGTTACTATATCCTGTTCATTACAAATTTAAGTTCCCCTATTCATTGATGGATTTGCATTGAGATCATGAAGTGAAACATGTGGTGAGGTCGGATTTTTTAGCAATCTATTTTTAATTGAAAATTCTCAATAGTGCAATGTGAAGAATTATGCAAAACTTGTATTTAAGTCAGTAATTGACACTATTAAAGAGGATCCCAGCCCTACTGATTATAACACAGCTGTGTACCTTTGCTGCTTTCACTTTCGTCTTGCAATGACATCTAAATTACATCATCATACTAATGTATCCACCTTATTTTTAATGTCAGATTGGGTTTGTAGCTCAAACGTGCAAAAGGCTTCCAGTGTCATGCACTTACACCTGCACTAAAACAGTCCATCATGCTAATATTTAGTACAAAATGATCATAATAATTTTGGAACTTGTATTATTTTTGGGGGTGGCTCAGTGGTTAGCACGGTGGATAGTCCCAGTTGCCGTTTCTCTGTGGAGTTTGCATGTTCTCCCCGTGATCAGGTGGGTTTCCTCTGAGTGCTGCGGTTTCCCTCACAGTTTAAAGACATGTGGTACAGGTGAATTGGATTTACTAAATTATGTAGTGTGTATGAGTATGTGTGAATGAGAGAGTTTGTGGATGTGTCCCAGTACTGGGTTGCGGCTGGAGGGGGATCTGCTGTGTAAAACATTTGCTGCAATAGTCGGCGGTTGCGACCCCTGATAATCAGGGACTAAGCCGAAGGAAAATGAATGAATGAACATTATTTTTTGTCAAAATTCCAAACACACTAGCCTGTTGCCGAATTAGTTTAGGTGTTTTCTTTTTTTTTTTTTTTTTTTTTTTGTTCTTTACCTATAAGGCAGGGCTGGCCAAACTTTTTCTTATGAAGGGCTAAAAACCAAACTTTGAGGGTGGTGGGCTGTATTACATTAAAGTTACCATGGTAATATTCTAATTTAATAATATTTTAAATATATAGAAATAATAATTTAATCAAATGAATAATTATATATATTACATATTACATTTTAATGTACTTCTTACAATAAAACCATAAACAATCTTATTTATAACAGAATGGAGTTTAATTTTTTGTACATCGATAGTGAAATATGTCTTAATATTTGTTGACATCAAAAATAAAATGTGTTTTAGGGTTTCATGACCCTTTAAAATTCTGATGAATTTACATTAGGTGAATTGGGTGAGCCAAATTGTCCATAGTGTATGTATGTGTGCGAATGAGTGTGTATGTGTTTCCCAGTGATGGGTTGCGCCTGGAAGGCCATCCGCTGCAACAAAAAAAAACATATGCTGGATAAGTTAGTGGTTCATTCCGCTGTAGCGACCTCAGATTAATAAAGGGGCAAGTCGAGAAAAAAAAATGAATGAAACATTAAATAATTTATTTTTTGTAGCTCAGCAATTAAACAAGCAAAAAAAGTTATGTAAAATTAGAAAGGACCATCTTTGTTTAAGGGATTCACCCCAGCCTTCTCCATAATTTCTTTATCACTTCTCTGATTGGTAGGCAGGCCAAATTAAAGGTTACCATGGGCCAACTTTGGCTTGCAGGCCCTAGTTTGGGCATCTCTGCTATAGAGGCTAATGTCTCACACGTTCAGATGAACATGGCTTATTTCCTCATTGCAAAATAAGGTGGATATTTACACAGTAAAAACTCCTCTCTGTCTCACTGAAGTTAACTACCAGCTCAAAAGTGTAGGGTTGGTGTTATTTGTACAATTGCTACAGGAGACTAGCTAGGAGTTTAAGGGATAGTTCACCCAAAAATGAAAATGCTGTTCATTTATGCCACCTCAGGCTATGCTAGATTTAGGTAACTTTACAGATGTTTTTTAGGTGAAACCGTGGTCATTGGGGATCCCTAAAATGCTAAAACAGTAACCAGCACTTTAAGAGTAAAAAAAAAAACATGAAAAAAAAGAAATGAATGCCTTTGCTGAGTAAATGAACAGAAATTTTCATAATTACTTAATGTTATTGTGCTGTTTTGCATTTAAAGGCTAAAGGCGTGTAGAGGTTGAATGTTAAGTTCTGCTTATAAACGGCATTTGTTGTTTTGTACCTTTTTGCCAGAAGTGTATAAATGATGAGTATCTCAATAGTTAGAGGCCTTTTTACATCTCTGTTTTATCTACAATTTTATGGTGCTGGTCACAAGCTTTGATATCAGCATACACTGATATCTAATCTCTAATGCTAAAATACACTATACAACTTTTTAAAATCTGAACATCAGATTAAATTTAAAACATCAAGCTTTATACACTTGCCAATTTTGTGAATAGTTACATGAAAAAAGAGCATTAAATACTACCAAGATTCACACACTACCAGACTATTAAGTATGACTTTTAACACAACAAACTCACAGTGAATTACAAATAAAATTATTTGCTCTTAAAGGAATCTGCTAAAAATATCACATATTTGATTTAATCAGACTGGAAGGAATCATTGCTTTGAGCAATAAACTCTCCAAGTTTTGTGTCCTTCATGCACTATTTGATTTTATTTGACATATATCTGATCAGACCATCTCTTTAGGCATCTAGCATTGACGTTGGGACAACAGTCTGACAAAGGTTATATAGTACATTCTGGTCTAAAAAATATATTTGGTCAAACAAATGCCAGGTCTAAGCTACACAATATTTTTGTCTGTTTTGATGGTCAAGAGACACCCACCAAACTACATACTTGCTGTCTTTAAAAACATGAAATCATAAAGAAGACACAATTAGTTTCTGATTTCTAAAAACAAGGATAAACAAAAAATGGCTACCTAACAGTGTTTTGGATTTGATCATTCTGCCATCAGAAACAAACTGAACCTTTTCTCCACTGCATAATTCCAGCTAGCAGCACTAATTATCAATGTCTCCTATTCATTTCACCATGGCTGTATCCTAAATGACCCCTTTACCCTCAATCAGTGTTCCCTACATTAGTCCACTTGAAGTGAATGGAAATGAGTGAGTGATTTTTGTTCACTCCAGTAGTGCTCCAGAAGAAATGCCTTTTTCTTTTGTGTTTACTAGTTGATAAAAATAAAAATGTTAATTTCAACACAGTTTCATGCAATTCGTAACTTTTTGATTTAGTGGCTAATTCATATGAGTTCATTTGATCTCATTTATGAACTTTAATATGATTTGCTTATACTTTAATAAGGGTTAGGTTTAGGGGCGGGTGCCACGCCTCCTTTTTAAAACTACATTTTCATATGACTGCACTCATTAGCCACTGCACTGACAAATCGTAAAATAGTTACGTTTACTCATGAGATCAGGCTGGATAATTTATAGTAAATAATAATAATGGATTGCTGTTCTAGATAAAAAGTTTTTCATTTGTTATTATGTTTTGACCCTAAAAATAGTCCCTGGCTAAAGGTATCTTTAAACAAAAATTTGCTGAATTTCAGGCATTTCGTAATATCATTGCGTCTGCTGCAGCTATGGTACAGCAGCAAAGTTCCTTGATCATTACGCCAGAATGAGAATGTAGTTACTAGCCATATTGGCCTGAAAATAGCAACTTTTTATTTTCTGTGTCTTAATACAAAATGTAACTACTGGAAAGTCAAGTTTCAAATAGCAAAATTATCGGGACTGTATGGTCATTTTTTAGTGAGATGCTAATAGTCTAATCTAATTCAATTATTTATTTATTATTTTATTTTGTTATTTATTTATTTAACCAGATATTGGCTGAACAGATAAAAAAATGGTAAAACTGTTTTATCACATATTTTGTTTTAAATAGGCTCATTTTACAACTCCCCTAAACATACATCAAACGGATTCTGCTGTGGATACCATTTTGTCGTCAGATGCAGGAGTTAATTTGGTATGATATAATATCTAGCCATTGCGTTATTGTACATTAGTTGTACGCTAAATTGTTTTTGCGATGGACTTTAGGATTGATTGAGTGCACTTCAAAACATTCAATATGGTTTTGGACAAAACTACAAATGGCTACTCCCTCAAATAGTGCTAAATTAAGGGTATGGGGCAATTTTAGATACAACCCACAACTAAATCCATCTGAGCTGGGAGTTTCGGCTAAATTGGTTACAGTATTATGGATGTATTTACAGCTGAAATGTAATATTGAATAGAGAGTAGGGTTAGTGTTCCTTCTCTCTATTTATTACAGTGAACTCTCGGTTGGTGAGAAGTGGTCAAAAGCCAAGCCACTGAACTGACAGCTTCTGTGCTTGTCATCATCATAGAGGTCATAAAACCCTGCATGGAGGACTGGAAAAAAATGTAGTAAAATGTTTGTTTTTTTGTTGGATGTCTAAAAGACAGGCCGGTCGATTAGAGAATAAATTAACATGTCACCCTACACCAAACAAATTGTGCGAAAATTGAGATATTGTGTAGCCTGAACCTGGTATAAAAAAGACTTTTTAATACAATTGAAATATCAGTGGCATATTACTGTCGTTGTTTATCACATGATTACTTTGGTATTATTTCCCTTCACGATTGCTTGTGGACACATTCTTTAATAAACGTAATTACATTTTTTATAAACTTTAATAAACATCAATTGTCCAGCCAAACAGTTATGAAAATTAAAACAACAAAGATCTTGAGTCCAATTCCCTGAGCATTTTGTAATGTTGAGCATGTAAGTTGTTAGTAGCACTCATCTAACTGACACATGCAGGCAAACACTATGACATTTTGAGCAAAGCTACAACTTTCCTAACACTTTTTATACTTGTGTTTTTGTTCTGTGTTGAGCTGGTGGTGTTTCATGAGGAACCAGTTCAGGGTGCTGAAGTAGATGTGGTAGATGGTCTTTGTGCACAGCATGCTTTACTTATAACTTGCCATTGTTTTTCAAAAATAATAATAACCACACAACTTCCATAACTTTCATCCCACTTACATTTAATGACAAATTTGATTTGAGACTCGTTCATTTTTATAGCTGACGGTTAAGCTTTATGGCCAAGTTTCACAGACAGAGCATATCTTAAGCCAGAACTAGGCCTTAGTTAAGTTTGGATATTTAAAAGTCTTGTGAAGTGCTTTGAAATGTGTGATTTTATTCAAGGTTACACAAAGGGCTCTATTTTAGGGATCTAAATCGCATGGCACAAAAAGGGTGTGTCCGAATCCGTATTTGCTTTTTTAAGGATGGAAAAAGTACTTCCGCACTCTGATGCATGGTCTAACAGGGTTGTGCTTATTCTCTTAATGACTTATGGGTGTGTTTTGAGCAAAAAGCACACCCACAAATCAGAGACTTGTCTCCCATTCCCTTTAAGAGAATGAGCCTCCTCCTTTCGACCTCTTTACTTCCTCTTTTTCTTCACTTACTCCTTCACTTTTGTGGAAACAGTGTTGTACACACTCCACTGAAGACATCCTTTAGTCTACATATTTAATCTTATTTTTTTTAAGCACAAAGATTTGTTAAAGAACTATTTCTAAATTCAGTTCTAACTTCCAGCAAACAAATAAATGAACAATAATAATGAAGTGTGGTTATATCCAAACACACGTCCTGTGCCACATATGGTCCAAAACCTGACAGGTTAAACAAATCTAAGCTTGTTTTTATTAAAACAAATATAAATATGCATATAATAAATACTACTAATAATAACATTATACAAAAGCAAGCTGTCATGAATAAACTAAAAAAGCCCCCTGAGATGAAGAAGAAATGGAAGCAGTGGTTTTTATATTTATGTTGAAAATAATATTTTTTTGTAATATTTAATCCTTTTTCATTTGTATATATATTTGTGTATTGCTGTACATCCTGTGTATTAAGCAATGTGTATGCGTTTAGGCGCAAAAATAATGTGCTCTGCATTGGACTTTATGCCTGCTTTCAGCTAGTCTATTGCACAGTCTATTTTAGTTCCTCAAAATAGCAATGCACCAACAATGCGCCTTAACACACCTCCATTCTAGACCGGCACAACCATGAGTCCACAAAACGGCGCAAATTAATTTCCTATTTAACCAATGTGGAGCAAAACGGGAAAATTAGGGTTGCTCTGGTCTGAAAATAGCAACACATCACACCAAACACGTCTTTTTGCGCCGGGTGTATGATAAAGCCCATATAGGGTGTGTCTCAAACGGTTCCTTATTCAGTAGTCAATTCACTAATCAGAGAGTCAGACTGTGTTAGTGCTGTCTCAATCACAGAATTTTTCGGTAAAACTTTATAATAACTGCACACTATGAATCATTTACTAAGCATTAGCATCTTGTGAATTCATTATTTGTTAAGCATTAACTCTACACTCTCAGAAATAACTAGTTACTGGGGCAGTACCTTGTCAGAAGGTACATATTTGTACCTAAAGAGTCCTTAGTGGTCCTATATAATATCAGTACCTAAAATGTACCTTTGAGATACCAATATGGACTCTTCAGGTACAAATATGTACCTTTTGAAAAGGTACTGCCCCAGTAACAGCTCTTGTACCTTTATTTCTAAAATTGTAGAGTAATAGACATCATTAAGCAGTTTATAACTGCAGCTACAAATGCTGTATTCTTGACTTTTAAGCACCTATATAATGTGCTTAATAATTTTATTTTCATACTTAGTTGATGATTTATTTTTCATTACTAAATTAAGTATCGCATTATTTACAAACCAGTTCCACAGTATTGAAGGTTTTTAGGATCATCCAGAATAAGTTATGATGATATGATGAAGTTATAATGATTACTAAACTATTGAAATCAACATTTATATATCTTATTATTCAGGCATATACTAATAGTTAACTAATATGTTGATAAATGCTTTATTAACTTCATGTAGTTTTGTGACCTAATCTAAAGCGAGGACTATTTATGCTTTATAAATCCCTTATTAATGACATTTAAAGGCTCAGAATCAAATGAACAATAATCTTTGCAATCTTTTCTAAAAAGTAAAATTACTGTAAAGTTTAAACATTGTCAAAAACAGGAGTGTCAAAATACGACATAAAACTGGATAAAACAACAATATAATATTTAACAATGTAATAAAATGCAATGTTTAGACTATACAGGGATTTTAGAAAAGGTTGCAAAGATTTATTTTTCATTTTAAGTAAAGTTTCATTTGTGTATCTTTAAATGAATATGATTTATAAAGCATAAACAGGCCTCGCTTTAGATTAGGTCACAAAACTAGATTAAGTTGAGTTAATAAAGCATTTATAAACATACATAGTAACCGTTAATGCCTGAATAATAAGACATATAAACAATAATTTTAATAGTTTATTAATCATTTACTAACTCATTCTGTATCATCCTAAAAACCCTCAACTACTCTTAAATACAACTGGTTTGTAAATAATGCGATACTCAATTTAGTAATGAAAATAAATCATTAACTAATTATAAAAATACAATTATTAAGCACATTATATAGGTGCTTATAAGTCAAGAATGCAGCATTTGTAGTTGCAGTTATAAACTGCTTACTAACGTTTGTTACTCTAGAGTTAATGCTTAACAAAGAATGAATTCACTAGATGTTATTGCTTAGTAAATGATTCATAGTGTGTAGTTATTATAAAGTGTTACCAATTTTTCCAATGCATTAAAACATTCGCACCGCGAAAAGTCCCACAATGTACCGTAAAAATGTAGGCGAGTCAATGCGCACTATGCTCCATTAATGGAAGTGCAAAAAACATGAATCACCTGACCCAAATCCTCAAACACAACGACAATCAAGAGACTTTTTACAATAAAAAAAGCATCACTCATTTGTATTTACACAATTGAACAAAAATAGACAAGTTAAGAACAATCTAGTAAGCATTTATAACTGAGTAATGGTAGAAATGTGGCTTTACAATCAAATTATTGAGCTCTAATGTACGTTTATAAAATTCTGTCTGTGAAACTGGGGGAAGGTTTTGTAAATCAGGATATGATAAGCCAACTCAGCAAGAGCAAAACAATGAGTCTGATGAATCATTCCTCTTTGATCAAACTGTGCCTGTCTGAACCATCTTTTCTACAACAGTACTGCCTGCGAAAGCAAGATGCTTACAGAGTGAACCAGTACCAGCATTCATCCATCCACTCATCCTTCCATCCATCCATCCATCCATTTCTTCACCAGAGAGGCATGATGACTACTAAATGGCCATGATTCAGTTATAACGTTCTTATAAAGAAAAGATGTCATGGTCAGCAATGTTAAAATGAATTGTTAATGAAATTGCAAAATATCTGAGGAATGTAAATTGGCAGTTTCCCTTGTTTAATAGCAGCAATTTTGATTTCTAAGGTTTTTTTTAATACATTTTAAAAACCTTTCATGTAATCCTAACAAAAATTCACATCAAAGCATATTTCCTACAAATGTATTCCGAGTGCTCAGATTGAAATCCAGATTGCTGAACATGCAGTGTTTGTATAATAATATATATAGTTTAATATATAGTAAAAGCATGCACTATGGGGGTTGAGTCTTGTTGAGACACTAATTAATGACAGACATGTATTATTGTAAAGGAACATTTTGCAAAGAGACCCCATGTACAATGAATAGAAAACCCCTATAAAAAAGAAGTTCCACAACACAAAGATGGCTTTTCTCATTGACTTTTGAGACTTTTTTCATGCAGTTTCTTCTGGAATACATGTTTTGTAAACCTTGTTTAGTCTTTGAACACATGATTGGTGATGATATGAGAACAGAACTTGTTGTTTTGTGCGTTTTGCAACTGAAAATGCTCCTTCATGAAGCTTATTTGTAATACACTAAATGCTAAACGAAAAAACATGTCCCAAACTCAAAGGCAATAAAGATGTTATTTTAAAGAAGGTTGTGCGTTTTTTTATTTCAAAACGGTAGACAGATTTTGAATACATTCCAGTATCATAGCAACATTTTGAAGATTTGTGATTCATACAGTAAATACAGATAACATTCAATACATTCGAGTTGGCTGAGCAAACCAAAGGGAAAGATAAAAAAATGGAAAATATCATTCTTGTGGTTGGTCTTGTGTGTGTTGATTTATGCCACAGTTGGCACGGCAGTTTCCCTTTCAGCTCTTTTGCTAAAGGAAACAAAAGGAGACAGTTAGACAACCTAAAGGAAACCAAAAAGAGAGAGAAAGGTCAAATCTACAGTGGTTTTAATTGTGAAAGTATCCTACCTTATAATTTTTGAGACCATTTCTTTGACCCATCGTGCTTCAGGATGTAAACAAACAGCTTGGTTGTCCTTTTTAGTGATTCTAAATAATAAAGAGAATTGATGAGTACATGAAATCTCTCTATTACTCAAATACGCTTAATTATTATGGGCTAAGTGACATTTTTGGGAGTCCTGCGTAGGCTGTACTGTGCAAATAAAGCGTATTTTGGAGAGATCTGAGGTTTTTCAGAACAGAGGAAACATGCACTCCCTTGCACATTTCCCCATGTCTGTGATCGAAGTGCGAGTGTCACTGAAACATCGTGACTTACATGATCTCGGCCTTGCGGCAGTGTGCGCCTGCAGGCAGGATCTCAATCTTCTGGAAGAGCCGAGGTGGGATTCTAGATGAAGTGGTGGTCTGACACTTGCACTTATTTTCGGTAGCAAAGCCATCCATTGGGAGTGCTGAAAAACAGTCATACAGGCATTCTGTT